TCATTTTTAAATCATTAAATTTCTCGAAAAGTTGATCGCTGGATATTCCCCCACCCCGCAAAAAAGCTAAAAAAATATAGAGATGCTGACGAACGAATCCAAAAAGTCATAATGGAAATTGAATCATTAGATTCTATTGAATTCCTGAAGAGTGTTCCTCATAATTACGAAATGAAAAGTAATTTCTAAGATTAAATATCTTTACTAAGTACGTTTATTTTTTCTTAAAATACAATATCTTTAATTTACGTCTTTAATTTACATTATTGTTTTAAAGGTCACCTCATAGCCACCAGATAAAGAATCGGTCCTCAAAGGAAGTCGAGTGATGCACCACCATCCTCGAGGAAATGAACCTATCTGGATTTAGGATATACACATTCAACAACCCCGGATAAGTGGCACAAGCTATATATTATATAAACGCCTGACCTACGAGGAAAGAGCTAGATCATCCACTCACATCCTCCCAAGAAGAAAATCGAACACTCGAAAATAACAGTCCCGTAGCAGGGAATGGGACGTTACGGCGTAGCGCATTTGGCGTCGCTGATTCGGCGTGGCCGATTCGGCGTGGGTGATTCGACATAGGAATTTTTCGGCAGAGGGACGATCAGGCGTCAGATTACTACTTCGCCGTTATAGTCAAATGTATTCTCTCTCTTTCGCTCTCTCTCTCTCTCTCTCTTCGTTGTTATATGCTCGAACAGTCCAGTTTAAGAAAAGGAGTAGTTTGAGGCATTTTTAAATCATTAAATTTCTCGAGAAGTTGATCGCTGGATATCCCCCCCTCAAAAAAAAAAAAAGCTAAAAAAATATAGAGATGCTGACGAGCGAATCCAAAAAGTCAAAATGGAAATTGAATCATTAGATTCTATTAAATTCCTGAAGAGTGTTCCTCATAATTACAAAATGAAAAAGTAATTTCTAAGATTAAATAGCTTTACTAAGTTCTTTTCTTCTTTTTTTTTAATACAATATTTTTAATTTAAGTTTTTAATTTACATTATTCCATTAGTGTTTTAATAGGATCCTTAATTCCCTAAATGAATAAAAAGTTATTGAAAATTGGGTGTTTTCAATGCTTTCATCCTTTTTTTGCGCTTGCCTCCGGTCAAAGACAATGACATCGAAACAGTCTGGCGCCTAAACGACTGTGCTGAATAGACCAATTATTTTTCTGACGCCGAATCGGCCACACCGAATCGGCCACGCCGAATCACTCACTCCGAATCAGCCACGTCGTATCAGTCACGCCGAATCATCCACATCGAATCAGTTATGCTGAATCAGCCGCACCGAATAAGTCACGACGAATCAGCCACGACAAATCAGCCACGCCGAATCAGTCTCCTCGAATCAGTTACGACCGACAAATCAGTCACAATGAATCAACCACGCCGAATCAGTCACGCCAAATCAACCACGACGAATCAACCACGCCGAATCTGTCACGCCAAATCAACCACGACGAATCAGCCACGCCGAATCAGTCTCGCCGAATCAGTCATGACGAATCATTCGCGACGAATCAGCCACGCCGAATAAGACTCGCCGAATCAGCCACGCCGAATGAGACACGACGAATCAGCCAAGCCAAATGGGCAACGCCAAATCAGCCACGGAAAATAGGCAACGTTGAATCATCCACGCCGAATCAGTCACTCCGAATCAGCCACTTCGAATCAGTCATTCCGAATCAGTCACGACGAATCAGTCACGACTAGTCAGCCAGGCCAAATCAGCCACACCAAATGGGCAACGTCGAATCAGCCACGCCAAATGGGCAACGTCGAATCAGCCACGCCAAATGGGCAACGTCGAATCAGCCACGCCAAATGGGCAACGTTCAATCAGCCACGCCAAATAGGCAACGCCGAATCAGCCACACCGAATCAGTTACGTCAAATGGACAACGCCGAAAAGTACGATTCCCGAAACAGCATAACTTTGAGTCAGCTGACGTTAATTTGTTGGCGCACGGCAGTGAGTAAAGAATTATTGCATGCATTAAAAATTTTAGAACCGTTTTCTTGTCTGACGTTACTAACATAACATGATAATTTACATAATAATTTGGTTAACTCCATGCCTAAAGCCGGGTTGGGGGCCAGCTTTGGTGGAGATTAAATATTTATTCAGAAGGAAAAAAACGTCTTATTTTGAATGAAGTGGATCTCGTTCAGTAGTTATTTGTATCCCCTTACTTCTTCAATTCTGGTTATCTTCACCCCTCCCGCCAATAACAAAAAACACAGTAACAATGTCAAAAGTGTTTTTAATGGCACCAGAGATATGAGACATGATCTGACAATGTTTATTGTTCTATTTTTTGTGTGTGGGTTTGTGCATTTTATCGATATAGATTGTTTGTTGCTTCTTTGTAGTTTTGTGTTTTTCTGGCAATGTTTCTTTTTTGGTTTTAGATTGTTTTATGAATGTTTTTTTCCCTCTTTTGTTCAGTGGTATGATTTTAACTTTTGGTATTTTATGCATGTTTCATTGAGGAAATATTTGTTTGGCTTTTGGGTGTTTGGTTTTATTCCTGTTGGCGTTTGAAAGACTGGGAAAAACACCATAAAAAATTGCGAATCGGAGCTGGGGTGGGGGATGGATTTTTTTTTTTATTATCAGATTTTTTTTAATCTCACCATCATATTTCACTCTGTCCCCCTTTCACCGTTTTTCTCCCTTATCACTATACCCTTCTCTCTCTCTCTCTGTTTTTCTCTCATATTTCTTTCTCGTTCTATCATCTCCCCCCCTTCTCTCATTTTCCAATCCCTCACTTTTTCTCTTTCACCTTCTCTCAGTCTGTCTGACTCCTTTTCCTTTTACTTTCACTTTCACTTTCTCTCTCATTTTTCTCTTTTCCTCTCGCCTTCTTTCGCTTTCATTTTCATCTCTCGTTCTAATTTTCTTCTTTCCTTTGTTTATTTTTTTCTTCCTTCTCTTTTTCTCTTTTTACAGCATTTCAATCTTTGTCCCTCTTACATTTATTTTCTCTTTCACTTCTCTCTCTCTCTCATTTTTCTCTTTTTCTCCCATTTCGCTTTCCCTCATTTTTCTCCCTCTTTTCTCACTCATTTTGATCTCTCGTTTCTTCTCTTTTTTCTTTCTCTCCCATTTTCTCTCTTTCTCTCTCTCTCACTTTCTCTCATTCTCTCTCATTTTGTTCTTTCTCTCCCATTTTCTCTCTTTCTCTCTCTCTCACTTTCTCTCATTCTCTCTCATTTTTCTGTTTTTCTCACTTTCGCTCTGTCTCCTTTTTCTCCCTTCATTCTCACTCATTTTGATCTCTCGCTATAATTTCTCTCTCTCTTTTTTCTCTTTTTTCTTTCTTTACCATTTTCTCTCTCTGTCTCTCTCTCTTTCACTTTCTCTCATTCTCTCTCATTTTTCTCTTTCTGTCCTTGTTCCTTCTCTTCTTCATTTTCTCCCTCCATTCTCACTCATTTTGATCTCTCGTTATAATTTGTCTCTCTCCTTTTTTCTCTTTTTTCTTTCTCTCCCATTTTCTCTCTCACTCTCTCTCTCTCTCTCTCTCTTTCTCTCATTGTCTCTCATTTTTCTCTTTCTGTACCTGTTCCGTCTCTCCTTCATTTTCTCCCTCTTTTCTCACTCATTTTGATCTCTCGTTATAATTTCTCTCTCTAATTTTTCTCGTTTTTATTTCTCTCCCACTCTCTCTCTCTCTTTTCATTCATTCTCTCTCATTTGTCTCTTTTCTTCCCTGTTCCTTCTCTTCTTCATTTTCTCCTCCATTCTCACTCATTTTGATCTCTCGTTATAATTTGTCTCTCTCCTTTTTTCTCTTTTTTTTTTTTCTCCCATTTTCTCTCTCTCTAAAAGAATCTCTCTCTCTCAAAGAAAAATTGTCTCTCATTTTTCTCTATCTGCCACTGTTCCGTATTTTGTCTCCTTCATTTTTTTTTCCCCCTTTTTCTTACTCATTTTGATCTCTCGTTAAATTTCTCTCTCTAATTTTTCTCGTTTTTCTTTCTTTCCCATTTCTCTCCCACTCTCTCTCTCTCACTTTCTCTCATTCTCTCTCATTTGTCTCTTTCTTTCCCTGTTCCTTCTCTCCGTCATTTTCTCCCTCCATTCTCACTCATTTTGATCTCTCGTGATAATTTGTCTCTCTCCTTTTTTCTCTTTTTTCTTTCTCTCCCATTTTCTCTCTCTCTCTCTCTCTCTCTCTCACTTTCTCTCATTGTCTCTCATTTTTCTCTTTCTGTCACTGTTCCGTCTCTCCTTCATTTTCTCCCTCTTTTCTCACTCATTTTGATCTCTCGTTATAATTTCTCTCTCTAATTTTTCTCGTTTTTCTTTCTCTCCCACTCTCTCTCTCTCTCACTTTCTCTCATTCTCTCTCATTTGTCTCTTTCTTTCCCTGTTCCTTCTCTTCTTCATCTTCTCCCTCCATTCTCACTCATTTTGATCTCTCGTTATAATTTCTCTCTCTTCTTTTTTCTCTTTTTTCTTTCTCTACCATTTTCTCTCTCTCATTTTCTCTCATTCTCTTTCATTTTTCTCATTCTGTCACTGTTCCCTCTCTCTTTCACTTTCTCCCATACTCTCTCATTTGTCTCTTTCTGTCCCTGTTCCGTCTCTCCTTCATTTTCTCCCTCTTTTCTCACTCATTTTGATCTCGCGTTTTGATTTCTCTCTCTCCTTTTTATTCTTTTTTCTTTCTCTAGCATTTTATTTTCTTCTCTCTCTCTCTCTCTCTCTTTCACTTTTGCTCATCCACTCTCATTTTTCTCTTTCCCACGTTGTTCATTCTCTCAATTTTTCTCTCTCGAATCACATTCTTCTCTCTCTTTTCTCATTCATATTCGTCTCTCTTTCTAATTTTTCTCTCTCTTTTTCTCTTTTTTCCTTCCTTTAACATTTTTCTCAGTCTCTCTCACACTTTTTCTCTTTCACTTTCTCTCATTCTCTGTCATTGTTCATTTTTTTCTCCATTTTTTCTAGATTTAATTTTTTCTCCCTTTTGAAAAAAATTGGTAAAAGCACGCCAGGCTATATGTCGGATCCGTATAAGATACAGGTTCGATTCCTATCGGCGGACGCATATTTTCTATGTAAATTTCTCGGATATTCAGGCTGGTAAATGTCGTTAATACTGTTTATTATAAACAGAGCATTTACTTAGATATTTGTATCGATAAAAAGAACGTATAAAAAAGGTCTTAAAATAATTGTCGGACTTTGTCCATTTTCATAATGTGTGACGTCATTTGTTTACATTTGGATACGCATCGATCAGATATGAATGTACGGGAGAAAATGATGTTGAATTGTAGTTTAAAAACAGTAAACTAGACCTTGATAACTGAAACACTCCTCTGTGGCTCAATCACTAATGCACGTCAGGCTATATGACGTTTTCTTAAAGAATACAGGTTCAATTCCTGTCGGAAGATGGAAATTTTCTATGAAAATTTCTTGGACATTCAGGCCGGTAAATGCTGTTAGTACTCTTCATTACAAAACAAAGCATTTACTTAATTATTTGTATCTATAAAAGAACGTATAAACATAAAATAATGTCTTCAAATAATTGTCGGACTTTGTCCATTTCATAATGTGTGACGTCATTTGGTTACATTTGGATACGCATCGAGCAGATATATATATATATATGAATTAATACTGTTTATTATAAACAGAGCATTTACTTAAATATTTGTATCTATAAAAAAGAATGTATCAACATAAAAAAATGTCTTAAAATATGTAATTATATTAATTTTAAGAGTTGAAAAGGTCGGTGGATTCTGGATTTATTTTTTTCAGAACGTGTACCTTAAGAGGTTCCTCGATATTACAGACGTTCGTGATAAAAAGTCCCGCGAGATCTGTTGATGTCATATCGTTGTGTCGAACATAATACCGGTAGGCATTAAATCTTTTGTTTAATTTTTCTGTTGCACAACCCCCATAAATCAAGTCGTGTTTGGTACACTGGGCGGCCTATATCAAATGGGAATCACTACAATTGCCACCGTTTGAAGAAATCGTAACGTCTCTCTTTGAATGTTTAGTGGCTTGACACATGTTGTTGCATAGCGAACAAGGCTTTCTCCGCCTACGACTATTTTCTAGACTACAACGATCGCAAACCTCAATGGTGTTTGGCGGGTGATCATTTCTGTTTGTCAAAACTTGTCTGGTGTTTTTATATCGTTTGGAAGAAACGATAGCGCTCACGGCTGCGTCTTCTTGGTTTCACGTTTTCCTTCTGAGATGAATTAGAGCAAATATAGTGGAACGATTGTCAGGTCTGCCGCTAAGAAAGTTGCTTCACACTATCGTTCCAGACAATTCTTTTTTCTCCTTAGAATCGATCTTGCTCACTGTTAGATTTACAATTACGTCCATGCAGTGTATATTGCTGACATATCTAGTCTGGTGCTCCGGCTATATGTCTTCTCTCGAGTCTTGGATTTCACAGAAGATTCTTCTGATTTCCAAATAAAAGTCTGTAATATTGGAGCAAATATAGTGAAACGATTGTCAGGTCTGCCGCTAAGAAAGTTACTTCACTGTATCGTTCCAGACAATTCTTTTGTCTCCTTAGAATCGATCTTTCTCACTGTTCGATTTACAATTACGTCCGTGAAGTGAATATTGCTGATATACCTGGTCTGGTGCTCCGGCTATATATCTCTTGGATTTCACAGAAGATTCTTCCAATTTCCAAAGAAGGTTCTGTAATATTACCGGCCCTGACCTGGCATCTCTACGTTAATCACATTCCAACCGCCATAACACGATTTCCAACTATCTTTTCTATAAATATTTTCATAGCAGTTGTTCTAACGAGCTCTCTTCTTTTCATCCCCACGACAGACAAATTGTACATATAGGAACTAGATAGGACTTCATAGAGACTTGGAGGTATTATGGTGACTGTAGTAAGTTTTGCTGTAAAGAATACTCTGATATGTTTGGGTCGGTAATCGTGGTTAGCTAAGTTTAAGATGAGACAGTATGACGATCAGCCTTCCCCTATCCCCTCTTTTGGCCTTGTGCCACATTTTTGTATTATATCAAAATAAATATTGCTCTAATCTTTGGGACCTCGACTGTATGAATTTAAGCGCAGTACTAAATTGGCTACTAGGTCTCATCTTCTTACTGTTTAAATAGATAGACATAACCGTAAGTTCTATTCTAATAGTTTCTTCTCTCACACTTTACACATGATGAAATCTCTTCCGGTTTCTTTCTTCCCTGCCTTTTACGATCGTCAAAAATTTAAATGCAACAACAATCGCTATCTTCTGTCCGCTTGAAACTTTTATTTTATTACCCTTTTAACGTCTTCTCATTTTCTTTCACTCTCAGTAACCTTCTGCGTCTTAGTGGCATTATTGAAATGCTCAGGCTGAAATATATATATATATATATATATATATATATAAATTAATACTGTTTATTATAAACAGAGCATTTACTTAAATATTTGTATCTATAAAAAGAATGTTAAACATAAAAATGTCTTTAAATAATTGTCCATTTTATAATGTGTGACGTCATTTATTTACATTTGATACGCCATGAGCAAATATGAATGTACGTGAGAGATTCATGGATGATTGAAGTTTAAATACAGTAAATTCGACCTTGCTAACTGAACGCTCTTCCGTGGCCAAATCGGTAAAGGCACGTCAAGCTAAATGACGGTTCCGTATAGGATACAGGTTCGTATTCCTGTCGGAGGACGAATATTTTCTGTGAAAATTTCTCGGACATTCAGGCCGGTAAATGTTGTTTAATACTGTTTATTATAAAACAGAGCATTTAAATATTTGTATCTATAAAAAGAATGTTAAAACATAAAATGTCTTAATATATATATATATATATATATATATATATATATATATATATATATATATATGTGTGTGTGTGTGTGTGTGTGTGTGTGTGTGTGTGTGTGAAAATATATATAAATATAAATAAATATATATATGTATAATTATTTATATATTATATGCAGTTTAGAGTTAGAAAGCGCTCAATATCAGAGATAGAAATACATATTTATAATGGATAGATGTGAGTTTGTGTAGCTGGGTTTCAAAGCGTGAAACCTAGGTCAAACAAACGCTAAAAAACACATCTATCCAACCATATATATATATCTGTATATATTATAAACTGCTACAGTAGAACATGCAAGTTGCTACACAAAATTGAATTTTTTGTTTCGACGTTTAACACGTCTCCTCAGGTAGTTAATAATAATGGTAATAAACGATTTTATTTAAAATTACAATTTATGAAACATCACTTCTTTTTACATTCGTGGAAATTTTTCCATAAAAGGCGAAAAAAAAAAATTTAAAACTAAAAAAGAAAATAAGAAATCAATAAAAAGAAAAGGAAGAGGAAAGAAAAGAAAAGAAAGGCATAAGAAAGCAAACGAAATCAACCCTACTACCAAGAGAATGGAAAGAAAAGAAAGGAAAAAGGAGAGGAGTATATCCAAATTATACAGATACAAAAGAAGAGGAAAAAGAAGAAAATAAGCTATGAGAAATTGTTGATAGAGCCAATGAAGCCATGCTGAGAAGGAGAATTCAAATTTGAACGGAAATAAAACATATTTATAGATAGTAACATATTACAGTAATAATATCGCATCTTAAATTTTATGGCACTTTTAATGAAATCCCAAATTGAAACAAAATTAGACATAGTACGTAAATAAAAGACACTTTAAGAAAAAAAACTATACTTAACTATACCAACATTACTTTGTAAATTACAGTACAAAATAAATTTTAAACATTTATATAATTTTTATATATTTATTTAAAATTAAAAACTATTATGAACACCGCAAGTAAAAAAGTAATGATATAAGCCAATTCATGGCTAACCATACTACCAGCAATTTACAAATACTAACCAATTTAATACCTTAAACGAGAATAAACCACTAAGGATAACATTAAAATGTTTATATAAAGATAATATAACAAAAGAGGAGTGATTATTGAGTTATAAAGTTTAGCAAGATTGTAAAGTTAATTCCTTAATCTGGTTGCAATTTACCGTAGTTTCATATCTTTGATTTAATAATTTATCACTATTCAAGAATTTAATTATTTCCATTTTCTCCTGTAGGCAGAGGAAACACGGTTCATTCACCGATCTGCACATTCTAGCTTATTTGCGAATTTTCCCTTTAACTTTAGGTGTTTTGTTTCTCTCTTTCAATTTCCAAAAAATGTTTAGAAAGTGAAGTTATATTTCGTTTGTTAGCATTAGCAAAGAATGATAGATAATTATACAAACATTTTTTAAAATGTATTCATTGTACTCCCAATATATATTTTAGTAAGCCTTGGATTTTCAATTGATGAAATAGAACACATATACACAAGAGATTTTGTTAAGCAGTTGTTAGATAAAGGACATTGGTCAGGATTTCTACAACTACATAGGTTAGTTATACGAGACAAATTAGGATCAGTACTAGCATTACAGTTATTATTGTCATATAAATTCAATGTTTTATTGTTATGTGATTTAATTATTTTTCTGTAGATTATTAGTGCAACTATAGCTAAGTTTTACAGTATTCTGACTGAAAATTTTACTTAAAGAATTATTCTTAGGAAAATGTTTATCAATTAAGTTTAAAAATATATGTCCCAATTTAGTACGAACTAGCTGATATATATATATATATATATATATATTATAAATTAACTGATTTAAAATATGTTTTTTTCGCTACACAGTAATAATCATGTTTCAAAAAATGGAAGCTAAAAGCTTCAGATTTAATTTTGTAATTAAATTAAAAACATTAGTTCCATTTCATCCTCAGAGAGATCCAATAATTTAACGGATGTCAGAATTCGTTGAAAAATGCATCCCTATCCCTACGTAAATATAACCCCTTTTTCGAACGTAACTAATAACTGATACAACAAAAGTTAATAAAAATGAATACGCTACCACCCCTTGTCTGAAT